CAGACATTACTCTTCAGTGTTGGACCAAAGCGTGGTGTGTAAATTTTCTCAGTGTGAAGATGCAGACACATATGAACAGTACTTTCTTATTAGCTAAAATATACATATTTATGAGTGTGCATATATTTTTATTTCTACTACAACATTTTTAGTCATTATGTACATATCCACAAGTACAAAGAACTTTAAAGATTCTTTTAAAGAAAAAAAAGGTAAGTAATTTATTGAGTTTAATAAATTATATAAATATATATGTTATATATAATATATTCCTATCTGCCCTTTCACCTTAGAAATAACATCTATGAATAATGATAAAGAAAAGCTTGGGGTTCAGTTGTTTTTTAGACAGGGTCTCACTATGTAGACCAGGCTGGCCTCGAACTCACGGAGATCCACCTGTATCCGTCACCCAAGGGCTAGGGTTAAGTTATTTTTTTACTAATTTCCCTTTCTGTGTGTGTTTGCTTTTTAAGCAGCATCACTAAAAGTGACCCAAGTCCTCCTGACAGTGCTCCCGTCTCCTGCTACCCTTGCAACCGAGTGAAAAGTGACTCTACAGACCCCAAGTCCCCATTCGGAAGTCCTTCTGCCGAAGCTCTGGCCTCCCGACTCTCATGGCCCAACCATTACTCGGGAGCGTCGGAGAGCCAGACCCGGAGTGACTTTCTGCTCGACCCGAGTAGGAGCTACAGCTACCCCAGACAGAAGACACCCGGCACACCAAAGAGAAACTGCCCGGCCCCTTTTGATTTTGACGGCTGCGAGCTCCTAGGCAGCCCACCCAGCACAGCCTCTGCAGAATTCAGCAGTGGCGGCAGCGGCGTCTCCGGTTGCCCCAAGTCCGCCAGCTACTCTCTGGAGAACTCCGAGGACAACTCCCTTGCAGCTGGCATGACCAAGCAGAGCATCTCCTGCCCTGCCTTACCCCCAAGGGCCCCAAAGCCAGTGGAACAGAAAACCACCCCTGAAACATCTCCTTTGCCTCTGAAAATTGATGGTGCTGAGGAGGACCCCACAGCAGGGTCACTGGACCTCTCAGAGGACCAGTATTTTGTGAGAAAGGGCATGCAGGACATCTTCTCTGTCTCTTACCCTTTCTCATCTCCGCTCCACCTCCAGCTGGCCCCCAGATCCTGTGGGGACGGGTCCCCATGGCAGCCACCTGCTGACCTGTCAGAACTCTCTATAGAGGAAGTGTCCAAGTCTTTACGGTTCATTGGTTTGTCTGAAGACGTCATAGCCTTCTTCGTCACTGAAAAGATCGATGGGAATTTGCTTGTCCAGTTAACGGAAGAAATCCTCTCAGAGGATTTCAAACTAAGCAAACTGCAGGTGAAGAAAATAATGCAATTTATTAATGGCTGGAGGCCCAAGATATAGCCAAATGGTGTGCGACAGAGCTGAGAAACATACGTGCTAGAAGGGGTGGGCTAGGACACAAATCCACATTTTTGCACTAAAAAAAAAAAAAAAGACAAAAAAAACAAAAGCCCTTCTCTGTAAATAGAGATAGAGAAAGTCTTACTATGCAGATTCCGTTTCTGAATGGTGAACAGGCCATTTTGTACATCAGTAAAGATGCTGTACAGAACACTTAGAGGTGTGCCTTGTACGTCACTCAACACTCAACAGCTGCTAAAAGAACTAAAGTCCTATTCAGAGAACTCTTTTTCACCCCAGTAGGTTTTCAAGAAGGCATGGTATTTATTACGAAACAGCCAAAGCTGAAAGACATGAACACTTGTGAGCAGTCCGCTCCCTCGGGGAGGTGACGTCCGACAGTTAGTTGTACTCTGCGGCTTGCTTTGCTTCATGCCAACTGTTTAACTCTTGTGCCTGATGATGTTAGTGGTGTGAAAAGAAACTTTCATGTCCTATGCTTGGTGGAGATCTTTTTTATCAAAAGGCATTTTCCAAAAATCATGTTTTGATGGAGGATGTCTGATATCCTTAGAAATGACACAAATCATGACCGTTACATTTGATCTGTAACTGCTGCTAGTTTTATTGAGCAGAGAAAAAAAAAAAATAGGTGTGTGTGTGTGTGTATGCAGCACACAGAGATACGTGTAAATGTAATTTTTGAATCTGATGTTTTAAATGCCATCCGTTTACTTTCTAATATCCATTGAGGTGGAGGGGCCTTTAACTGAGTGGATCCTCTTGAGAACAGTTGGCAGGATGACTCCAAAACGTCTCAGAACCTGAACTCTGAAGCTCCGCCCCATAGGCTCCGCCCCTGGGAACTCAGAAGCGATCAGTCAAGAGTCTGTTGAAGAGTCTAATGTGATTCTCAAGCCCGTGCGAGCGCTGATTCCTGCATACCCATGCTGACGCTTGGGAGAGGACAGCTGCTTTGGAGCCGTCCTCCTGTCCTCCGTGTGTCCCTCACACCCGTGAGTTCTCACCACCACGCCTCTTATGTTAGGAAAGCTCGTGACTCCAACAGACCACCTCTCAGTTATATATGCCACATCTCTGCACTGATTCCTACAATATCAATAAGAGTACTTGCTAATTCCACAGACCTTCTATTCCTCTAAATTAATAATAATAATTACCATACTCTTATTCTGAGAATTCCAGAACCTGTCTATGAATTTTGCTAAATGTGGTTAAATACTCCAAAATAGAGCCTCATATCCTTACCCTTGGCTCTTTGAAGGCATATGACCTCAAAGAGTTCCTTTTTTTTTTTCCCTGAGCAGCAAATGTATCCTCCAAAGAGTCCCTGAGTCTGTCCCAGAATCTAACTCGGCAGACCTCCTGTTAGCAAGATGCACACCTGAGCTTCTCAGGAGAGGTTGTTTGGCCACCAGGAGGCAGTGTATCCTGAAGGGTTGAGCATATTTATATTTGAAGCATGTCTTCCTAGTCACCAAAAAAGAAGTCACTGTTAAAGTCAAGAGCCCGCAGCAGCCGGGCTCGAAGTCCTGGGAAGCATGCCACTGTTTCTTTCCCGTAGAAAGCTGCTTCATTCCATCTTGTGACTTAGTTGAGATGAATGGACACCTAGTCTAATTCCTCATCTCTGGTCTCATTAAGAGAAGAACAGGCTTTTACCTTTCTTGGTTGTAAATACCACAGTGCAAGGAAAAAGAATCCTCTATAACTGGCATGCTTCAGGAGTCATGAATGAATCCCACCCCCCAACCCCCTACCCCCCCAACCCCCCACCCCCGCCCCCTACTGCCCTCTCACAACCAAGACTCATGGACGTCTGATTCAGAAAGCAGCCCTCTCAGAGAGGAGTTAAGTCCTTAGAAAGGGCACCCAGCCCGAGAACATTAACTTCCCTTGAGAATAAAGACAGACAACCTGCCGGAGAGACACAACTGGTCACACTCACAAAACCCGCCCTTTGTCCATCCTTTAGCACCTAGCACGTGACCATGATTCTCAAACTCGGCCTTGAGCCGTGGGGTTGGCTTGAGTTGACAGTGAAGGTTGGCCCACATAAACACCTGCCTTTGTTCGTCTTTTGCAAGACCCTCAAACAAAATAAGATTGTCCATCTCCTTTGAGTTCATTTGCTTTGGTCCTGGCACACCCATGCCAAGTCTGTATTGACCGGGATCCTGGTACCCTCCTGAGAGCCAGGATAGGCCTTGGAGTCATGCATTCCTTGGACAGTCACTGGGCACTTTCTGTTTGCCAGACCCAGGGCTGAGCAAAGACCTAGCCCCTGCCCTCTTGGAACTCGTTTCTGTTTCAAAATCACAGTAGCTGACACTGTATGTGTGCATGAGAGACTGAAATGTTCGTGGAAGGTGGATTTATGGAGAGTGACGTGCCCCAGCTTTAAGGAGCCCACAGGTGGAAGCACTGACAGCCTCTTCGAACACATACAATAAACACCCCCAAGACGCTTGGCATCCATTAAAGGAAATATGCATCTGTCTTTCACTGACTCCTGTTCTCTTTTACTGACTTGGAATTTTTTAATGATAATCAGTACTTGGCATTTCTGAAAGGCACGAATAAGTGTAATTGCCACTTCTGGGCTGATTACCTGTCTGTGGAGGATGCCGGCTAGACGAGGAATTCATAAGCCGGCAGAGAGAATGAGACAGGCTGCGCAGAGCAGAAGGTGGAAACAGCCCTCGCCTTCCACGTCCCACAGCAGAGCCTCCTCCCACCAGCCAGGTCGAGACCAAACCTCCTTTTGTGGCAGATTCCCTACAGCCCAGTGAGTGACCGTGGGACTTGTGGCGAAGTACTGTCTGCACAGGATCTTTGGAGGATCCTTACACTCATGCCTAAAACCTTCCTGCCCCTCCCCTATCAGGAAAGAGCATCAGCAATAAACGAAGCCAAGCAGCTGAAATGTAAAATACAAAGTCAATTCAGAGAGGAAACTCAAGCATTCACCCACCAACGCTGTCACAGAGTCTTCTAAACGTCTGCAAGTTGTCTTTAAGTTGAACTGCTCAAGTTTATGAACTGTGAAATGTCCATGTATCCTCTCTCTCTCTCAGCCCACATGCACCATTCAAATTTATGAAGTTGTACCAAACTGCCCATTCAGCTAAATTGCAGTGTTTATTCTTATCTTGCAGAAATGCCACAACCTTCTGGGAGATGGGACAGTCCATTCCAGCTGATCAGATACATGCATAAACAACCTCCACTCACTGCCAAGCCGGCTAGAAGTTCAGGGGGTGGGGGTGGATGGATGGAGAACCCTTCATTTTCCTAGTGCTTCCCAAATGCCTAACATCTATAAGTGTATTCCCTGAAAAGCAAGCTGGGAAAGAAAATATTCCTCCAAAGACCCCAGTAAATTTGAGTTGCAGTCTACCAAAAAAAAAACCTCACATCTCTTGGACGCCTAAGACTTTCAGAAATATGTCCATCACATGAATTTCCATTGCTTTTCTGGAAATCTGAAGCTGCTAAGGCAGGAAGAATCAAAGGTCCAGAGAGCAGATGGAGGAAATGGGACTTTTATTATACTGTGGGTTTGTAATGTAGGATTCTTGTGACCATATCAGGTCAAGTCACATTTCCGAGTTTTCAAGACTTCCTGTTTTACAGTTTGCCTCATTGTGAATCTAAGAAACAAGTGAGCGTGTCTCAAGCCAGGTACAAACCTCGTCTGTAGTTGTACCCTTCCGTCCAACTTCGAAGCTGTGCGTTTTGTAGCAGAGCCTGGCGGATAGAGTTCCCTTGGTTTACAGTGTCCTGTGGATAGGGCTTAGATAACTCCCTAGCCATAAACCCACTCTCCTGTCTTTATAGTATGTTCCGTTTGGAATATTGTTTCAGCTAAGACTCAAAAAATTGAAAAAATAAAACTCAAGAACTTGGGGAGTTTTCCCTTTGCTTAAATGGAAATTGTATTTTCTAAGAATTTTGCAAGTGTCTGTACAGTTTCTTGGCTGGGGAAACAGTGGGCTGCTAACCACATGTCAGCAGTTAGTTGTGTTGCTTTCCAGAGCATTATCTAATGGGCCCAATGTGTACCTCAAGATAAACGCAGTATGTTATGTCAAAAAAATAAATACATTGTCTGTTGATTTAAATGGTTCTGAAATGTCTATAAATAAAAAACTTTTCAAGGTTGCTCTTCTTTGTGCTGACTTTTCAAAGGCCTTGTTCTCCAGCCCCATCGCCATAGGGAACTGGAAAGGGGTTCTAATACTGCAAACCACATTGTGAATTGAGAGGCGCAAGACCAAAGCTACAGTTGACAGAATCTGGTAACCAGGCAACCCCGTGATGCTCAAAGGACCCAGTACCTGTGTAGTCAAAAGACGAGTGCAGAGATGTCTTTAAATTTGAAAAGAAAATAGATACACATGTTCCAGTGAGAAGGGAGCTAAAGTCCTGGCTTTGGCTTCCGTGTTGTTCAGTTGGTGCAGTGATGACCCAGAGGAGTGCCCCTGGGTGCCGGAGAAGAGGCAGGCATGTTCACCCTGCTGTGGCAGGAAGTCTCACAGGGAGCCTGGAGGATGACAGAGTTTGGTTGGAGTTCTTGTTCTCAACTTATCATGAAATCACTTCCCAGCATCCTATTTCTCAATCAGACAAGTCCCAGAGGCATCCATGCCACCATTTCCTAAGCCTTTAGTCCCACTCTCCCAGAGCTGGGCACTAGAAGAACTGTACACGTGGTTAAAAAAAAAAACTTCCAAAGTCGAGGTCCTACCTCAGGTATTCTGGGACACTTCACAAACTGGATATGGCTAAGAAATTTGAAACTAGAAATAAGTTGTGTTAGCATCATCTGTCCTTTGATCCCCATGTAACTTGTTAGAGAATTCGTTATCTACTGAAAATGTTAAGTACAGGATGCAGCCTACTTTTGCCCAGTTGGCTTCCGCTTATGATGCCTGCTCACCTTGGCCTCTCCTTGCTTGGGGAATTCATCGGTATGCTTTGGGAATTATTAGGCAGCATCCCCAGGCTGTGTACATTATGCTCTTTGTAATAGGAGAGCAACCTGCGTGTATCCACGCCTTGCGAGCTGCCCGTTCCTTGGCCTCCAGAGTCTCCAAAGTCCAAGGATTCTGGAGCAGATGTTGAATGTGGCCGGTGACTGTGACATGAAGATCAAGACATCAGTCACAGAATAACGGGATGAAGTTGCCTCAGATGAGGTGCAGGGGATGCAGCTCAGTGAGAGAGAGCCCTCAGTTCAATCTTTAGCCCCCCCTCCCCCAAAATCAAAGGCAAAAGATTGGCATCAGAGATGCTCACACTGTAAAACAGAAGAGCAGACTATAAGAAAGTGAGACACACTTGTTTGGCGACCCCAGGTTGAGTTTATGTCATGACCGCTGATAGATGCAGCGAGAATTTCTTACACGTACATTTTTCTTACAACTTGAGCCAGTGACTGCCCCTTAGTGATGGATGTAAAAACGAACCAAGAGCCGTGTGTTCCACGAGTGGCCGCAAATGTCAGCTTCAAGAGATACAGGCAATTGAAAGACAGTGCATGTGGTGGAATGTTCAGGTGTTCTCAGGCCAGAGGCAGTGGGGGGCGGGGGCGGGGTAACAGGTCTGTGCCCTCCAAGACACAGTGACCCAAGAGACGTGGCACAACAGAGCGTTAAAACACACGGGACTTTGGAAACCCACTCTCTTAACTTCATAAAAAATAAAGCCCGCACTCTGTTATCCCTCCAGAGCACACGTGGGCTATAATAAAATGAAGGATAGAATTCGAACTTGCGTTTCCATCTTGTTGTCCTTACAGTTGTCTCCAGGTTCCACAGCTGTTAACTTCCACAAATGGCGGGTGGCTTTGAGATGTGTGGGTGGCATACCCTGCTCTGGTCCTCTGTCTTCTGTCCTAAGGCTGAAAATCAACCAGAAGGCAGTCCTCAACTGATCCTCCCCAGGTGATGCTAGATAGAATTGAGGCAACCGCCTGCTGGGCTTGGTGGGGCACACCTGTAATCCCAGCACTTGAGAGGCTGAGGCAGGAGGATTTTTGTGAGTTCAATACCAACCTGTACTGCACACCAAGACCCTGTGTCCAAAAAGAAAGGAAAAGAAAAAGAAAAACCTCTGCTTATAAAACAAACTCTGGGCTGAGCAAATAGAAGTGCTTGCTACTGCCCCAGACAACTTGAGTTCAGTTCCCAGTACCCACATCGGCAGCTCACACCACCTGTAACTAGCTAGCTCCAGGGCACCCAACACCCTCCTGGCTTCCACAGTAGACACATATACACAAGTCAAAATTCTTTTTTTCTTTAAAGAGACTCTGAGCACACCTTCTCCTTCATCCAAAGCGATGGCTCAGTGGAGATATTAAATATGACAGATGAAATGTAAAAATGTAAACGGATTTCAGATAACTGGTACACACACTTCATCTGGCAGTGTCCAAGCTATCTACTAAAAATAGCTTATGAAGGAAACCAAGGGAGAGAAGCTGTAATACCAAATATGACCGCTAGGTGGCGGGCGCTTCCACCCATGACTGCCCCAGGATGGCACCAGCCAGTTCCTGATAAGACATTAATGACAAGCCAAGGATCATTTCAAAGCACAAAGCTGGTTTGTCACAGGGCCTTCTTGCTCCAGGGATCTGATGCCCCCTTCTGCCCTCCACCAGCCTGCACTCACATGTGTATATCCACATAATGCAGACAACTAGAAATTAAAAAAAAAAAATCTTTTTAATAAAAAAAAAATATACAGGTAATAAAAAAACTGAACAACTCTTACAGAGATGAGTGACTTTTATAAATCTAGTAGACTACCAACCATTTTTTTTTTTTAGTTTAGGTTTCTGTCTTTAAATGGTGTGATTGGTGATTCATGTTTTCTCAGTGACCCTTAGCTAGTTTTTTCCAACTCTGATGATTTGGGAATGAGGGTCATGGAGGAATCTGACTTCCCTGGGAGGAAGAACCACAGCTCACACTGCGGGCTGCTGAGGTCATGCTCCTTTCTCACGTGACCTCCTTGGTCAGCTTTCCGCTGACCAAGACCAACTTGGGGAGAGGCGCGTTTTTTTGCCTTGCAGGCGACGGCGGTCCATCACAGACGCAGCCCAGGCAGAAGCGTGGAGCAGACACTGAAGCGGAGACGTGGAGCAGACACTGTTTACCGGTTTGCTCCCCCGGCTTGTTCCGCTACCTTTCCTGTTTTGTTTTGTTTTGTTATTTTGTTTTTCAAGATAGAGTTTCTCTTTGTAGCCCTATCTGTCCTGGAACTCACTCTGTAGACCAGGCTAGACACAAACTCAGAGACCTGACTGCCTCTGCCTCCCAATTGCTAAGAACTGGAGAGGGATAGCACAAGTCTTGGATGCATTGTGGGTGTCGGTGTTAGTGGTCTTAACTTGGCTGTTTTAAGAAAGAGAGAAGGGTCTTCCTGAACTGACAGGCACTACTGGGCCTTGTGGATTTTTGAGACCCCAAAGGGTGAGCAGTATTCAAAACCTGTCCAGTCTCTCTAAAGAAGATGATGTCTGCCATATGTTGACAGAAAGCCCTTAAACAAAGAAGCTGAGAAGCCCAGGACCAAAGCAGCCCTGTCCTCCACGTGTCCTGCAATATGAACATCAACACATTGCTCTGAAGAAACAAGGCACACAGAGAAACCAGAAGGCTGCAGAATGCGCTAAACTTTTGGTCAAGAGAATGAAGGAAGCCAAAGGAAAAAAATACCAGGAACCAATTGCCAAGAGAAGTAGGCTGTCCTCAGTGAGAGCTTCTACTTCTAGGCAAAATAAGATCCAGGCCAAAATAAGACTTTAACAAATAAATGGGCAGACCCTGCCACTGGTTGGGGTCAGTTAGGGAAAATGTCCACCTTCATTCCCAAATACATTCACATGCCATGGAACAATCTTCTGGTCAGTGACAGAATGCATATGAAGTTGGGCTCATAACATTATCACAGAACCCAAAAGTTCCTCTTGCCAAATGATGTCCGAATCATCCTAACTCCAACATCACGCCTGTGTCCATGGTGATGCTGATAAACAGGCTTGCTGCATGCAAGTCACATGAAAGTATTGTAAGACAGAATACACAAGACTTGATTAAAAGCTTGCTATTTGTTTATGTATTTAGTGTATTTATTTTAATCATTACTTTAAAATACTTTTTTTTTTTAGTATACTGGGTGAGAATGTAGCTCAATGGTACAGTGTGCTTAGCATGCCTAGACCTCTGAGTTCAATCCCTGGTCATAAATTAAGTAAATAAGTGAAATTTTAAGATGTTTATTCCATGGCCAGCAGGATGGCTCAGAGGATAAAGATATTTGTCAGGCAAGCCTGTATACTTGTGGCTTGCAGACCTTTGGGACAATAGTATGAAAAGCAATTTATTGTATGCTTTTTCATTCACCAAAACATAGAAAGTCACTTGCATTATCTCATTTAATTTACAGCAAAATAATAAGCAGCTGCTTGTGTTACTTTGTTCTTCCATTTTTATAGACAAAGAAACTACATCTGTGAAGGGTGATTGGCCAGGCAAGGTGGTGCACACCTTTAATACTATCACTTAGGGGGCTGAGGCAGGAGTAAGGTCAAGGTCAGCCTGGTCTCCATAGTGATCTACAGGACACCCAGAATTCCTTGGTGAGACCCTATCTCAAAAACAAAGAACAAAAATTCAACCCCCCTGTGGAGGCCCACAAAGGTTTCCTAGTGAGATCTGAGCTTGCTTTACCCAATAGAGCTGCATTAGAGGATTGCTTGAAAACGTGTACTGTCTTGGATGTGCGGTGTGCTTTGATCTAGCAAGGGGAGGTCTTTTGCCCTGCCCCTTGGCAGTCCTTTAAAAAGCCCCTTAGAAGAAACAGAGGGACCGGTAGATAAGGATCCAGGCCCTCCCAAGGCTATCCTGTGTTTCTGTCTTTCTCTCTTTCTCTCTCCCCTCTATGTTTCTATCTAAATCTCTCATCCCTCACTCCTCAAGAGTGCCGTGGGGAAAAAAGGTGGGAGCAGATTGCCCACACGTCCCGAAAAGTGTGGGGTATAACTGATCCAAGACCCTATAGGAAGGAAATGGCCAGTCCTGGATTCAAAGCCAGTCTTTGTGACCTCACATCCCACATCTATGATTTTATGAGGGGGGGGGGTGCGGCTC